TGTTTGGGTTTGAGATGTGTTTGACGTGTGGATTGGTCATTCTGGTTGGACGCTTGGCCTATCAGGCAACTCAATTCTAGAAGATGTCAGCATGTCTGCGGCGTGTGCAAGTTCTTTGTTCTGAAAACTGTTACACATTATGTCCCTATTCAGGAATATTTTTTCAGAAATGCTAATTTATTTACCTAGAAAATTGACACAGTCAGAGTCCACTATTAAAGATCTGTCAAAGGGAAGTGATATCATTGTATTAAATAGTACAGTGATGTTTAGAAAATATGCATGTAATACATATAGGAATCAATCACACAAGTGTCAGAATTGTTAGTATTTGAAGATTGAACGTACATACATACAAAGTGAAAGTTGAAATTGTATGATCACAAAAATTACACGAGGCTTTTCTTCTTCTATTCAACTCTTACTGTATTAAAATTGAAATTTTACAAAGAAAATTGTTGACCTTTTTTAAAAGGATAGATGTATGTAGATGTCCTTTTCCTTTTCTTGTCGTAAAGTATTTATGTACAAAAATTTAAAATGTTATGATGAGAACTTTCAAAGTTAAAAAGTCACAATAAGAGTGCTGACTGACAAATGTGTAAATTGACAAATGGACCAAAAAATTAACAGATATCTTCCTCTTCTGGTAAACTCTCTGTATAATTTTTGAATAGTTATAAAAATTGAGTTACATGTAGATATACATTCAGGCACACTTGCAGATAAACACAATGATATGACTACAATCTATACATGTCTTGCTCTTTTATCGTTAGTGATCAACTATTCCCGTTTGTCTGTAGGTACGGGAAATTAAGGCTGTCAATTGAATGCTTCCTATCAAATACTATATTTTGTTGGGTTTTAAAAAAATAAATGGATAATTGTATTTTGCACTTCTTACTGATCTGTGGCCTTCACCAGTATCTACAGTAGTATATCTATTTTTATGAGGTGTTCGGGGAGGTGTCAGAGGTGTGAGAGGTACCGGGGTCCTGGCAGAAGAAGAGGCAGGTCAAAAGGAAGTCGGAAAAGGGCCTACACGGGACGCCCTTACACTTGAGGAAGTTAATCAGAGGGCAGAAATCTTACAAGAAAATACCAAAGTTAGAAATATAATGTCAGCTAGTTATGTGTTCGTTGGTCTGTTTTAATATCTGTTACTCTGTGTTAGGTAACAATTTTCAGGAAATATAAATATATACTGTTCATGATATTATTCAATAATTTCATTTAAGAACTTTTCTGTAATGATCCTTGATGAGGCTGTACTAGCACGGGCAAGATGTAAAGGACTGATGTTTTAGTTTTTGATGATGATGCAGACTGGAACAAGGTCAGCAGATATCTAGGATACCGGCAGTATATCCTGTGGTGGCTTATGGGTGGCTTAGGGACTGGGGACAGGAGAGTAATACCTTCCTGCTGTGTATGGAAGATAAGGAACAAATATCTAGATCCCTTTAGGCAATACACTGAATTCGTTCCTGGTAGACTAAGTTTACTTTAAACTGTAGTGTTGTATACAGATTTTGTAAATTTGAGATATGCTATACGTTTGTAATAAGTATATTCAAGCAGTATGTACATACATGTATATAATAACCGAGCCCTGAGAAAATTAAGCGTTCTATTGTCTTATTGCTAAAAAATCTTATTATTTCCATGGCATGATTCTCCTTTTTTCTCACTGTAGTAATGTAATATAAAATAATATCTTTAATTAACAAATTCTATCATTTACAAAACCCCTGTAGGGTGAGTTAACCATGCACCGGGCACATACCTTGCTTCGGACAACTTTAAGCAATGAACTTTGATAGAACCTGAGTCTCTCCGTGCTTTAATTGTTTCTGTCTTAAAGGTGAAGATTTAAAGTTTTTAGTGATGCCGATTTTATTTTCATGTTGTGATTAAAATACCACGAGAATTGCCTTGAAATTACGTCAAATTTTCATCAACAAAGGGGAGTAACCAGAATTTTACGATTTTGCATTTTTTAGAGTTGTCGTTCTTTAAATAGACTTCAACGGAACGAGTCGGACCTGGGTAAAATTTGTCAGTAATTGATAATTTTAAAGAATTTTTTCAAAAATTTTACTTTAGTTTTTGTATATATTTTAGAGTTGTTTTTATTTACTACTGTAGTATGTTTATTTCACCGTATATCGGACACAAATTAACCATGCATCGGACACTTTTCGATGCATTGGTAATCATTTCAGTTTTTATATAAAACCCAAATGATAGCTGTTTTATACGGAAATAGAAAATAAAAACTCTAAATCTTCAGTGAAAATACAAGTTATCGATATATGACGACTAGAAGTGGACTCAATTTATTTCTTTAAACCAGATGATGATAACCCACGAGACAAAGGTGCGAGCTGTCATATTACTAGCATTGTAAAGCCTTCTAAGGCGATGTGATGCAACTATAATCTCTTCACATTTGTGGATCGACATAGTCATTCAAATTTAACTAGAAAGTTAATTTTTAAATAAAAGATAAAAATGTTTCGATATAACTAATTTTAAAGCACCGAGATCAAGGTATGATATTTTTCTGGTTTAAATACCGAATATCCGATGCATGGTGTACATTGTCCGATTCATTGTGAGTTCTGACTTATTTTGAAAAAATCGGTGTTTAGTTTTCTCAGTAAATAGCATACGATTGTGTCAAAAATTTATATTTTAACCACATACTACATGTTGAGTTCCATTTTGAAAACATGCGGTCGGTAACGATATCGATAGAACTTGTTGTAGTGCGAGGGTGTCCGATGCATGGGGAATTCACCCTATTATATTTTCGTCAATTTGACATACTTTGACCATTACCGCCATCTGCCATTTTGAACCTCGACAAACCCTTCTTCAGAGCGGGGTCGACTTCGATATCAAGCCCAGTAGAATTGGGACCGGAACTCTTGTGCTCTTACCTGAGTGCCTCGACTCGAGACGGAACTCTAGTCTTAGATAAAAACGCTCAATGTGCGACAGAACTAGGAAAACCGACATCATCAAAGGAAGTGATATTTCTGTCCAGAAGAGAACTACATTTGCTATGCCAGTACATCACGTGCTAATGGGTACTTGGACCTAACCTATAAGGAGAAGGTTTGCTTATATGATATCTTTTTATCTATATCTATCTATCTATCCAACTTTCTATAACTAACTTACTAATGTCGCCTCGTCCTTTCTGAGCTGTGTTAAAGATATGGCCGTCTTCTGTTCTTCGGCCTTCCAGATGGACTTTATCGCCTTGTTTGCTGACGAGGGGTTAAGTGCTGAGGGGCTGCTTGTCTTGGAGGGGGAGGTTAGGAACACAGCAGACTTCTCCTCCTCTAGGTCACTGGTGAAGCCAGGAAGCCTTGGTCGGATCTTAGAGTGGTATCTCCCCATGTATCTCTATAGCTCCTCAGAGAATACCAGAGTTATAGGTGAAATATGACCAGTCATGTGTTGAGAAATCTGAAAAAATAATGTTAAAGATCCTGATCCTTCCTTCACATACATGACATACATGAGATATACTGAAACGCAAAAGTAAAGCAACATCCTTTTTTTTGCGGGGGGGGGGGGGGGGGAGTATATATATAGGTTATAACTTTGTACTTCAAATGTTAGGACATCTTCATCTCTGCCAAGTCACTAATTTAACGGTTGAATAATTTTCATTCCATTACCGGAAGTTGATTTTTAGCCCTCTTCACAGAAATCAAAAATTGCATGTTTAATAAAACATTTGACAATAATTTGGGTTTTCAAGGGTTTGTAGCTGTTAATCATAAGTATTGAACTAATATTCCGAGAGAAAAAATCCTTCTTTCTTTTCCCGATGTGATGCCAAATTAAATTGACTGATAGCGCGCATTTTCATTGCTCTTGCTGGAAATTACGGTGGAACTCTCAAATGTTAGCGACTGGGTAGGGAATGAAACAGGGTTAGTAAATTTTATACCTGGCGAGCCCATTCACTACAGAACTTTGTAATGAACTTATCTAACCGATGACATGAATATATGATTCTCCCTGGTATATTTCATCACTCCCGTCTGTAAAGTGCTATAATGTTGTGTGGGTTACGGGGAGAAGTAACGTGAAGAGAAGAAATAATGTTTGCTCCTTACTGGTATTAGTCACTCGGCAAACCTCGTGTCTGTTGATAATAACAGAGGTTGTTCTTAGTCTATAAACTCCATACTGACCGTGTATTGCTCCTCGTGTCTATTGATAATTATAAAGGTTGTTCTTAGTGTAAAAAAGAGCTCCATACTGTCCATGTTTTCAAGTTACCATGAACAAGTATTGCACTCACTTCACGTGTTAGACTTGAACTAATCGTAAACCTGGATGTCAGCTAAAAGGTTATCAAAGGAAGGTTAAAACGCTTTATTTAAAAATGATTATATAATCTAAGATGTATGCTGAATATGATTCCGTCCTGAACTTCTGGATTGAGTCCTTTATTAAACGATCTAACCTACTCTGTTGTTTCCTTGATAATGTACGATGATATCCTTCAAAATCACATTATGCAATTAATCACATTTAGAAATACTTTAAAACACATTAGAATTCTTTGATCCCTTCTGTTTGTTTATTCTTTTGACTGTTTCAATGTTTTCAAGAAGATATTAATTCCTAATACATGTATGTATGTTGTTTAAAACAATTTAAGATGTATCTGTATTATTTTTTATATTTAAAAATCAAATCAAAATTCTGTAGTGAATTTGTCTTTAACTGAGTATTAAATACTTTCTGGCATTCAATATTTGTACCATAAAACATGTAGAAGTAGGATGCATTTAACACTTTTATATCTTTGACAATTAATCGGTTGCTTACTTCATTTTCTTCCCTTCATTCTTCGTCTCAAAAGACGACAGTTCCGTCTCCTCCGTCTGTCCAGCCTCATCCTCAACAGGATCCTGAGCAGACTGAGGGGATTTTCGCTACAACTCCACGGTCTGCTCAAGTTCTGGTCAAAGAAGTGCTAGAACAGGCTGAGGGTACGGTAGTCTCACTTTCTCTAACTGTACAAACTCTGGCTGAAGATTAGCTATCACACACTGAGGGGATGTCACGGTCTGCTCAAGTTCTGGCCAAGGAAGAGCTAGGACAGGCTGTGGGTACGGTAGTCTCTCTTTCTCTAACTGTACAAACTCTGGCTGAAGATTAGCTATCACACACTGAGGGGATGTCACGGTCTGCTCAAGTTCTGGCCAAGGAAGAGCTAGGACAGGCTGTGGGTACGGTAGTCTCACTTTCTCTAACTGTACAAACTCTGGCTGAAGATTAGCTATCACACACTGAGGGGATGTCACGGTCTGCTCAAGTTCTGGCCAAGGAAGAGCTAGGACAGGCTGTGGGTACGGTAGTCTCACTTTCTCTAACTGTACAAACTCTGGCTGAAGATTAGCTATCACACACTGAGGGGATGTCACGGTCTGCTCAAGTTCTGGCCAAGGAAGAGCTAGGACAGGCTGTGGTGACGGCAGTCTCACTTTATCTGTCTGTACAAGCTCTGACTGAGGATCAGCTTTACAGACTAAGGAGATGGCACAGTCTGCTCAAGTTCTGGCCAAGGAAAAGCTAGAACAGGCTGAGGGGACGGTAGTCTCACTCCATCTGTCTGTACACGTTCTCCACGGTCTGCTCAAGTTCTGGCCAAGGAAGAGCTAGGACAGGCTGAGGGGACGGTAGTCTCACTTTCTCTAATTGTACAAATTCTGGCTGAAGATTAGCTATCACACACTGAGGGGATGTCACGGTCTGCTCAAGTTCTGGCCAAGGAAGAGCTAGGACAGGCTGAGGAGACGGTAGTCTCACTTTCTCTAAATGTACAAACTTTGGCTGAAGATTAGCTATCACACACTGAGGGGATGGCACGGTCTGCTCAAGTTCTGGCCAAGGAAAAGCTAGAACAGGCTGAGGGTACGGTAGTCTCACTTCATCTGTCTGTACACGTTCTCCACGGTCTGCTCAAGTTCTGGCCAAGGATGAGCTAGGACAGGCTGAGGGGACGGTAGTCTCACTTTCTCTAATTGTACAAATTCTGGCTGAAGATTTGCTATCACACACTGAGGGGATGTCACGGTCTGCTCAAGTTCTGGCCAAGGAAAAGCTAGGACAGGCTGAGGAGACGGTAGTCTCACTTTCTCTAAATGTACAAACTCTGGCTGAAGATTAGCTATCACACACTGAGGGGATGGCACGGTCTGCTCAAGTTCTGGCCAAGGAAAAGCTAGGACAGGCTGAGGGGACGGCAGTCTCACTTCATCTGTTTGTACAAGCTCTGACTGAGGATCAGCTTTACCGACTGAGGGGATGGCACAGTCTGCTCAAGTTCTGGCCAAGGAAGAGCTAGGACAGGCTGAGGGGACGGTAGTCTCACTTCATCTGTCTGTACACGTTATCCACGGTCTGCTCAAGTTCTGGTGAAAGAAGTGCTAGAACAGGCTGAGGGTACGGTAGTCTCACTTTCTCTAACTGTACAAACTCTGGCTGGAGAGTAGCTATCACACACTGAGGGGATGTCACGGTCTGCTCAAGTTCTGGCCAAGGAAGAGCTAGGACAGGCTGTGGTGACGGCAGTCTCACTTTATCTGTCTGTACAAGCTCTGACTGAGGATCAGCTTTACAGACTAAGGAGATGGCACAGTCTGCTCAAGTTCTGGCCAAGGAAAAGCTAGAACAGGCTGAGGGGACGGTAGTCTCACTCCATCTGTCTGTACACGTTCTCCACGGTCTGCTCAAGTTCTGGCCAAGGAAGAGCTAGGACAGGCTGAGGGGACGGTAGTCTCACTTTCTCTAATTGTACAAATTCTGGCTGAAGATTAGCTATCACACACTGAGGGGATGTCACGGTCTGCTCAAGTTCTGGCCAAGGAAGAGCTAGGACAGGCTGAGGAGACGGTAGTCTCACTTTCTCTAAATGTACAAACTTTGGCTGAAGATTAGCTATCACACACTGAGGGGATGGCACGGTCTGCTCAAGTTCTGGCCAAGGAAAAGCTAGAACAGGCTGAGGGTACGGTAGTCTCACTTCATCTGTCTGTACACGTTCTCCACGGTCTGCTCAAGTTCTGGCCAAGGATGAGCTAGGACAGGCTGAGGGGACGGTAGTCTCACTTTCTCTAATTGTACAAATTCTGGCTGAAGATTTGCTATCACACACTGAGGGGATGTCACGGTCTGCTCAAGTTCTGGCCAAGGAAAAGCTAGGACAGGCTGAGGAGACGGTAGTCTCACTTTCTCTAAATGTACAAACTCTGGCTGAAGATTAGCTATCACACACTGAGGGGATGGCACGGTCTGCTCAAGTTCTGGCCAAGGAAAAGCTAGGACAGGCTGAGGGGACGGCAGTCTCACTTCATCTGTTTGTACAAGCTCTGACTGAGGATCAGCTTTACCGACTGAGGGGATGGCACAGTCTGCTCAAGTTCTGGCCAAGGAAGAGCTAGGACAGGCTGAGGGGACGGTAGTCTCACTTCATCTGTCTGTACACGTTATCCACGGTCTGCTCAAGTTCTGGTGAAAGAAGTGCTAGAACAGGCTGAGGGTACGGTAGTCTCACTTTCTCTAACTGTACAAACTCTGGCTGGAGAGTAGCTATCACACACTGAGGGGATGTCACGGTCTGCTCAAGTTCTGGCCAAGGGAAAGCTAGGACAGGCTGAGGGTACGGTAGTCTCACTTTCTCTAACTGTACAAGTCGCCCGCATGGCGCAGTGGTTAGAGCGTCTCCTCTAGAGTGGTGAAGTAAGGAGATGATCCTTACGTCGCGGGTTCGAATCCCACTGTGGGACGTGGAGACCGGTCCTTCGGATGAGACCGTATAAACCGAGGTCCCCGTGTCGCAGTAGGTGCTGGCACGAAAAAGATCCCTCACTGCTCAATGGCCGAAAGTGCCGAGTATAGGACAAAATTTGCAGCTCTCCACCGGTAATGGTGGCGTCTCCATATGAGTGAAAAATTCTCGAGAGGGACGTTAAACAACATACAATCAATCAATCAATCTAACTGTACAAACTCTGGCTGAAGATTAGCTATCACACATTGAGGGGATGTCACGGTCTGCTCAAGTTCTGGCCAAGGAAGAGCTAGGACAGGCTGTGGGTACGGTAGTCTCACTTTCTCTAACTGTACAAACTCTGGCTGAAGATTAGCTATCACACACTGAGGGGATGGCACGGTCTGCTCAAGTTCTGGCCAAGGAAAAGCTAGGACAGGCTGAGGGGACGGCAGTCTCACTTCATCTGTCTGTACAAGCTCTGACTGAGGATCAGCTTTTGCAGACTGAGAAGAGGGCACAACCATCACTACATATTGATCAAGCTTTTACTAAGGAAGATCCTGATGGCCATACCCAGCTATCACTAAATTTTGTTCAAGCTTTTCCTTAGGAAGATCCTGCTCAGGCTGAGAAAGTGGCAGTGTCATATTCTCAGGTTGTTGAAGTGCATCTCCGGCTTTCACCGTCTGCTTCACCCTGGACGTCCGCACCGGGATGTCCAACAAGTAGGCCTCCATCTACTGGGAACGTCGCCTGATTCTCTGGATTCTTCCGAGCTCCATCTTAAAGAAAAAACAAGAGGCCGAAGGGCCTTAACGGTCACCTGAGTATAATACAACAATTTAGAAGTTAAATACACTGATAGTTGAAGCTTTGTTGCCCTAAAGCAAGAGAAGTAGGAAGATCAGGATCAACTAAATAATTAGTGCTTCTGTACTATTTATAAACCCATATTAAGACCTCTAGCATTGACCTCTCTTATGGTCTTTGAAGAACTTTTAATAAGATATTTTTGTCTCATTTTTATTTATCTATTACTTACAGGTCTACCTGTTTATTAAAACTAAGAAAGTACTTTTTTAATTATACGATAAACATTCTTGCATAATTATCTTATTCTATTAACCTTTCAAATACATTATTTACAGTGATTAATTATCAAAGGTGAATGGAAATGGGGAATAACTTCTCTCAGTAGAATACAAATTAATAGAGCCCTGCCCAGGACCAGAACGCTTAGACCAATGGTCCAGATGTTTAAAAATCTGGTAGAAATATGGTTACTCATATCATTTAAACTTTTACCCAGTTTGCTTCCAATATGCCAAGAAGCAGAGAAGAATTTCACAGGTACAATGCATTTTCACTACAGATTCAACAAAGCCTTACCTGAACACCAGAACCCAAGACCAAGGGTCAAGAAATTTACAAATTTGGAAGAGTTACCCTCATCATCATAACTATGGACTTCAAAGAATTAACATTTTTCCACTATATTATCAAAAGCCCCCCCCCCCCCCCCCCCGTTATGCCAGAACCCCTGACCCTAGGACCACAAAATTTAAAATTCTGTTCGAAGCTCCCATTTTCATCATAGCTAAGCAATTTATTTATCAGCTCAACACTAAGGAGCAGACAGGATTAATTAATGATAAACAGAATTAATGCTTTTTCACTATATAATCAATAGAGCCCCCCCCCTCCTCAAGAACCCCCCAAAACTGAGGCCATATATTTAAAAATTTTGGAAGAGGCATCCTTGTCTATCATAATCATGTACTTAGTTTGTTTATATAATCTCCAGTAGCAGAGAAGAAGATTTTCAAAGAATCAATGCATTTTCACTATATAATTTATAGAGCCCCGCCCTAACACCAGAACCCCTGACCCTGGGGCCATGAAATTCACAATTTTTGAAAAGGCATCCTTATGCATCATAACCATGCACTTAGTTTGTTTAAATATTCTCCAGTAGCAGAGAAGAAGATTTTCAAAGAATCAATGCATTTTCACTATATAATCAATAGAGCTCCGCCCTAACACCAGAACCCCTAACCCTGGGGCCAAGAAATTCACAATTTTTGAAAAGGCATCCTTATGCATCATAACCATGTACTTAGTTTGTTTAAATAATACCCAGGAGCAGAGAAGATTTTCAAAGAATTAAAGCATTTTCACTATATAATCAATAGAGCCCCGCCCTAACACTAGAACCCCTGTCCCAGGGGCAATGGCTTTCACAATTCTGGAAGAGGCCCACCTCCTCATCATAACTATGTACTTAGTTCATGCCCAGGAGCAGAGGAGAAGATTTTCAAAGAATTAATGCATTTTCACCATATGGTCGATAGAGCCCCGCCCTAACACTAGAACCCCTTGACCCTGGGGCCATGAAATTCACAATTTTGGAAGAGGTACTCTTGCTCATCATAACTATGTACTTAGTTACTTTATTCAATATCCAGAAGCAGAGAAGAAGATTTTCAAAGAATTAATGCACTTTCACTATATAATCTATAGAGCCCCGCCCTAACACCAGCACCCCTGACCCTGGGGCCATGAATTTCACAATCTTGGAAGAGGCACTCTTGCTCATCATAACTATGTACTTAGTTCCTTTATTTAATACCCAGGAGCAAAGAAGAAGATTTTCAAAGAAATAATGCATTTTCACTATATAATCAATAGAGCCCCGCCCTAACACCAGAACCCCTGACCCTGGGGCCATGAATTTCACAATTTTGGAAGAGGCACTCTTGCTCATCATAACTATGTACTTAGTAACTTTATTTAATACCCAGGAGCAGAGAAGAAGATTTTCAAAGAAATAATGCACTTTCACTATATGATCTATATAGCCCCACCCTAGCACCAGAACCCCTGACCCTGGGGCCATGAATTTCACAATTTTGGTGGAGGGCTCCATGCTTATTACAATGATGCCAACAGTTTGTCTGCTTGATGTCCAGGAGTAAAGAAGAAGATTTTTAAAGATTGCATTATTTTTGGTGGTTTTAGCCCCACCCCTCAGGCCCCAGGGGGGCAGGGACCATGAAATTCACAATTTTTGTTCCCCTTCACCCATAGATGCTATATACCAAATTTGGTTGAAATTGGTTGAGCGGTTCCAGAGAAGAAGCTAAAAATGTTCAAAAGTTTACGACCGACGTACGACGACGGACAAAAACGGATAGCAATAGGTCACCTGAGTTTACTCAGGTGACCTAAAAAACTATGGCCTTACGGTACTGAACTTATATAGTTGAATATTGGCTATAAAAATGCACTTGCAAGATTGTGCATCTGTACAGCTAACTTATGTCAATATTCAATAAAACTCAGTATAAGTTCAAAAACTCTATAATACACTGTATATACCATGATGTACATATGTAAAAGTGCTGTGGAAGTCCCAATTTTATTAGTACCAACTGATTCTTTGAGTCTTTTACCTCTGATCTCTCAGGTTGTTTTTGGTCCCATTAATTAGTTCAAAATAATTAGGTGTGACTGTACTTCTTAAGCCTAAAGGTAACTTTACATCATAAGATGTATACAGAATAATATCACTATGTTTTTAGCATTCTTGTTATAGCATTTAGTATTCAATTCAAACACCAACTTACCTTTTCCAATCTCCAAGGCAAGTTTTTCACACCATAATCGTATCTTATTTCTTCCCCAGGCTTGATATAACGTGTTGCAAACAATGCCTAATAAAGTCTACGATCAAGATACAGTTGGATCATTTCGGCATCGTTTTCATGATCACTTCTGGCGGCATCATTCACATACCGCCCAATTCTTTTCGAAAATGTTGCATCAATACTGTAATAAAAGCAAAAATACTGAAAAAAATCAATGTATATAATTATCATTTTATATTTTTAAATAACAAGCATTCTGAGAGTATTGCATAAGCAATACATGTCCCCTACAGGGTTCCCTTTTTCCTTCAGGATGTCATTTTATAATACATGTATGCAGAAGTTATGACCAAGGTAAAACTGCTTAATTTAGAGGTTATGAATGTCTTTTGCCTAATAGAATAATCCATATAAAGACGAAAATTGAACTCATTTTTTCAACATCTTTTTCTCGCTTCATATTTACCATGTTGACCATCAGAATATAGCGCAGCACGAACCCGATCCTAAGCCATTATGATAAATTAAAAATGCTATAACTCTTGTCAAAAATCAATGAAGCAAAACGAAATTCAAACTTGATATGTAACTCATTAAGATACACTCACATACCAAAATTGTGGAAAACCAAGTATGACAGACAGACAGGGACACATAGACAGATGGACAGATGCAGAGGAAACCTATAGTGTATTACTATTTCACCGGTAGGGGACTAAATATATACATCTTTTTTATCCTATACGCATTCTGAATGATTTACTTAAGTAAACAGTATAGCACTATCCAAGAGACCAATGGGTGAGTCATTCAATTTTTAATTGAATTACATGCTCATTTAGGAAAGAACTGCAAATGATAGCATTGTTCTCCTGTCTACCTCCTAGTCAATTTTAAAAAGTGAACATTGAAATGACTTGTAATATTTATATTGATATTTAAATGGTTTTTCATAAAACACTCCTTTTCTTGAAAAACAAGAGATAACTATAATTTTGGTAAAACTTGTGTTTTTAACAATAGACATCAACAGAAAATATTTTTAAAATACCTGAGAGAGAAAGAGACCCATTTGTCGAAAGTGATTTTTGTCGCTTTTAATGCTAGACAAATAAATTTTAAAAATTAACTGTGTTAATATTCATATTTGATATTAACATCCGAGTACAACTAGTGCATACTATGTATGACACTGTTAAATGTTTTCATGTAAAGAATGCATAAAATGATATTTGTATTACTCCGTGTAAGAATAAATAAATATACATTGAATGATAATATACATTTTTTGATTTATTCAATTTAATAAACATTCATTAAAAATATGGAAAAATATCGTTTTATATATATGAAAAAAAACAACTACGAGTAAAGGTCAACACTACATGGAAATGAATGAAAACAAGAAATCTGTGAGCCAATGCTCACTAGGAATACCCTCGCTCTAGGGCTCGACATTAATGCTTGTCCGGTACCATTGAAAAAAAAAATTAAGGACAAGTGATTATTGCTGGACGCTTGTCCAGTCTCCAAAATAATAATAACAGATCTGTTTACTCTTACGATTTCGCCGTATTTTGTACGGATTTTCAGTCCAAAATACGTCTTACGTTTTGCTATAACGAAAATACGGAAATCCGTTCATATGGATTTTAGCAATTAGTTTTCGTTATCTGTCTCAGTTTGACGCTTTTTAATCGCTAAAGAAGAGAAAATTTTCAAACATTAAGTTGCCAAAACGCGGTGGTTTAAAAAATGACAGAAATCACTCAAAAGAGAGCAGTGTATGACGTTTTGCTTTGTTATTAAACCATGATTTGGTAATCAGAAATGTAGTTGTTTCTAGTAATGTATGTACAGTCGATGAAAAGTGAAATCTTATGGGCAAATGCCAAATCTCACTGACAAATCTAATGAAAAATACTGAGAGACAACAATTTGGGTAAACAGGTCTGTAATAATATAAACAAGAGGGCCATGGGCCACATCGCTCACCTGAGCACTATAGCTTGGAAAAAAGCAGAAATCATGCAGTTTATTATTGAAAAGTTTAAACCCTAAAGTGGTCCCAACCAATCCTTAAAGGGGAG